TGCTTTTGTTTTTCTCTCATATAGTTACCATATACTCAAATGTTCCATTCCAGCATTCCAGTAGAGGAGGAAAATAATGACGTGATGAGGAACTTGACTAAGAAAATGCAAAAACACTGCTACCATCTGGTGGATAAAATATTTATGGCACACAAATGGATGAGAGACGCAGAAGCTGTGGACACATAACTCATATAACATAAAGATATTTTTGTCTTCTGTGGAACGCAAAGAGATGTTAAGCTGAATGACAGCCGCCTTTTACTTTCATTGTGTGGTCTGAATGGTGCTTATGCAATGGTTTGGATTAGTCATGCGAGAATTCTCAGTCTAATCTATTTTTTGTATTTCCTTGTAATCTATTTGGGATTTAAAATGGAACCTCATTTTTTGAAGGGCCAATCCTATACTGTGCCATCTTATGAGTATTTATAAGGCTCAGTCGAATCTATTTAAACTCGTGCACTGTTGTAAACAAAAATGTATGAAAACACATTAAGTAAAGGTTCTTTATTGAATTTGATAGCCAGTGGTGTAAAGTAACAAATTACAAACACTCAAACGACTTTAATTGAGTAGTTTTTCTCAGGAATTGTAATTTACTATGTAGTTTTAAAAATGTGTAATATTAGTTTGCCTTGAGTACATTTTTAGTGCAGTATTGGTACTTTTACTCCACTACTTTCCTTCAACCTGCAGTCATTATTGATTTATTTATTTATTTATTTATTGTCTATGAGGATTAGAAAAATCAGTCCTGTGATTCCTGTCCAATCGAATCGCACACAGAAGACAAATCACATCATAATGAACAATCTCAAGACATGGGCGATTTTTAATTGCAGCATATATTTGGAAGCACTAAAAGTGTCAAGAAGATGTCCAAAATCTTTACATGCAATGACCCAGAGACTGTTTAGATGCATGCCACTGATAAAAAGATGATGGATGTTTACTGAATGATGACCGAACTGGCCTTAAGATGTTGGCTCGACATTGGATTTTGGTCACTTTCTAACACAACCTAAAATTAATCAAACATCAACCTTGTTTAACATCGTACTTTGTCCGTGGACGCTGGCTCGACAATGAATTTTGGTAACCTGATGTCACGACCTAAATCTAACCTAATATTAACGTCTTATGATGTTGTGTGCCTTCTTAGACCTAAATCTAACCTAATATTAACGTCTTATGATGTTGTGTGCCTTCTGGGCAATAGCTACCCCCATAGAAAAGTTTCTCTGGCCCAGATCTGGCCCACACCATCAGAATTTGCTTGGCCCACATGCTGCAGTGAATTACGGTACATGACTGGACCTAGTCTGGCTTCCATACAAGAGGCAAACATGGACCATATCTGGGCCAAGTCTCAGCCAAGTTAATAAGGCATAACTGGGCCTGAACTGGGCCAGATGTGTTGGTGTGTCACGACTGCAATACTTTTTATAAACCCATGTAGCATTTTGCTTTATGGCTGTGCTTTTTCTCGAAGAGACCTGACTGATAGAAGTTTTTCTTTAATCAAAAATTATTTAAATGTATTTTAAAAGTGGGTCAAGATAGGCCAAACTTACGTGGCCCACATATACATTTTTAACATTTGGGCCAAATACTACATTTGACATCTGGGCCAAGTCTTGAGTGCTGCCTCTAAGACGGTGCCACCTCTGCCAAACCTGGCCATATTTGGCCCACATGCTGTATGCCAGTGTCGGACGAATGCCTGCTGTGCCAGCTTTATGCCAAATCTGGGCCAGAATTCTTTGCTACCTGGGTATGCACTACAGAATGTTACGTTTACACACATCCACAAATTACATGTAAATGCATTAGCTTTCCACAGCGTAACACTTACTGCTCTTGAGTACTTTTGAAAGGTCCACCTTTTACTTATACTTTGATTTTCATTTTCTTGTCGGCTTAGTCCCTTTTTTAATCCGGGGTTGCCACAGTGGAATGAACCGCCAACATATCCAACTCATTTTTATGCAGCGGAAGCCCTTCCAGCTGCAACCCATCTCTTGGAAACATCTGCACACACATATTCACACTCATACACTACAGACAATTTAGCCTACCCACTTCACCTGTACCGCATGGACTGTGGGTGAAACCGGAGCACCAGGAGGAAACAACACGAACGCAGGGAGAACATGCAAATTCGACACAGAAACGCCAACTGACCCAGCTGGGACTCGAACCAGCAACCTTGTTGCTGTGAGGCGACAGCACTACCTACTGTGCCACTGCTTGTCGCCTTTGAGTAATATTTAAAACAGATATTTTTACTTGCACAACATTATTAGGCAAGTAATGGCACTTTTTCAGTACTCTTTCTACCACTGTTGTTAGTTCCCTACTTTTAACAACCAAAGAACCCTTATATTCCCCCAAAAAAGATTCTTTAGATGATTAAAATATTTATTAAACGTGCCATAAGAAATAAAATACAGAATTAAAGTATTTTTTAGGAACAGTTTATTAAATATTTTTTAAGGAAACACAACCTAAAATGTTCTGTCACCTCTCTACTGGAATCTTAGCTATACCTAAAAAGCTTCCCTCATCTTTGCTTCTTGTTGTCACTGGTCTATTTAAATCCCACCTAGAAATCACAATGTGATTTAAATTTGTAAACGGAGCAAGCCAGTAAAGTACTTTCTAGAAGCAATTCTTAAAGAAATAGTTCAAGCATAAAGTAATTTATGCATACACAGGGACAGATGCAGCTTGAGTGTGAGTCCTTAATATTCTGGGCAATGTGTATCACCTGGGCTGATGATCAGTGCCAACTGAAGAGAGATGTGGGGAATGGAGTCCGGGATAATGACAAGAGAGCTTGATGGATGTGCAATAAAACTGTAAATCATAATACACTTTGCAATGTTGAACTTATCATTTTAGTTCTTAAGACCTCAATGTACAAAGTATTGCCAAGAGCCATATTATTAAATTTGTTTTGCCTGTAGGCCTATATGTTTCTTTGACTATCAAAGTGCTGGTAGCTATTAAATTCCATTAATTACCGGTTATTACCAGTTTTGGCATAACATTTTCATTAATCTTGTACAAAATATACAATATATCCGTGTAATGTCACGATAAAATAATTATTTGTTTCAAACACATCTCATGAACACAACAAACACGTCATATCCAGAATTCACCACAAGATGGCGGCATAATTCTCCAACAAGAACTGAGCAAATTACAACAATTGAGGCAAGAAAAATATATAGCCTACTGTAGGCAAAGTTTTGGATGTTAAATCTATATTTCTTTTAGAGAGGTTTATAACATTTAACGTAAGTTAATCTATGTTTCTTTATGTGGTATAATGGACAATAACTCAAAATTAGGCTCCAGAGGTGAATAAATCTAATGTCTGACGACGCCATTTCATAAAGCTGTTCAGTTTTTTTTATAAAGTAGTAGTGTGTGGACGAACATCATGTAACAACTTTTTAACGTCTGATCCGAATCAGGAAAAAAAGAGACATTTGCAAGCGTCATGTAAATTTTGTGCAAATGAAACCCGCCCTGTGTGAAGCAGAGCAAGCCCTTCCTTGTCGCTATAATAGCCTAATGATTCAGCCACTGAATGAATAAAAACTTTTACCATTCGCGATCACGTCGATCCGTATAAAATATTATTATATCAGATGTTAGATCACAGGAGCAAAAAGGAAATTTGCATCTAAAGCATTGAAGGCCCAAACCAGACTTGAGAAGAGCATCAGAGCAAGCACACCCCGCCCATCGGTCAACAGCAGACCTGCTCTGAAGAGCGACAGGTGCGTGAAGAGATCAGCACCTTTACAGCTGCCGGGAAAGCAGAGGGGGCATGATTTTTGTCGACTATAAAAACCCGACACTGGCCAGGCAGAGTCACTGGACCCGCAGGTACGGAAGCGAGAACGTCGAGTTTGAGGCCCTTCATCACAACAACCTGGATATGAAACCGCAGAGGTGAGCCAGACAGGTAAAACAGGCTAAAAAATACTAAAATGCTGCTAAAATGTATTTATTTATTTTTTTCAGACCATAAACGAAGTGAATTATATTTTGTTAAGCAAATAAAAACAATTAAAAACTAAAGCTTCTGAAATGTTTTTGATATCATCATTATTATTATTATTATCTCAATTTTACGCTGTAAGAAAATTTGGTTTCCAAAAAATCTTTTTGTTAAAAGTTCCTCAAAGAACCCTTTTCTTAGCTTAAACCATAATTTTGTTTCAATTCAAAAGAAACCTTTTGTGTAATGTAAAGGTTCTTTGGAAGTTAAATGTTCTCCGTGGAACCAGGAATGCCCAAAAAGAACCTTATTTAATGACTGTATTTACCTTTGCAATAGTGACTTGTGAAATATTTTATTTTTTTGCACAAAAAAACCCCCAACATCTATATCAGAATTTAATTAAAAAAATGTTTCAAACATTTAAATTAAGGGAACACCCATTGTAAAAAATAAAAAAAATTGAAAATGATTTTATTTAAAATGATGAATTACGTATTTCCTTTATCCCTAAAACCCAATACAGTTCAGTGCAAATTAAAAAAAAAAGCTGCAATAAAAGCAAATGTCAAATTACTTTATATAGTACATTGTGCACAATTTTATGATTTTTTTTTTTTTTACATCCTGCTGTAAAAACTAATTGTAAAACAAAAAAAAGTTAATATACAAACTGCACAATTCTAACCAGTTTAAATGGTTACTGCAGGGAAAACTAATCTGAAATGCAAAAACTAACTTAAAAGTAGAAAAAGCAAACCAAAATGTAATTACAACTATATATATATTTATTTTTTAAATTTTTTTTTTAGCCTTTTAAAAAAATAAAAATAATGATTCAACTTTTGTGTCTTGCAGGAAAAGAGCAGAGAACAAACCTGGAAAACTAAATTAAGGAAAACATGGATTGAATGTCTGGTTTTTTTTTTTTTAACTTTGGAGTTTCCCAGTGAGCCCACAGAACTTCGATGAATAAAACTGCACTTGCTTTACGTTGAGCCACACGCACAATACATGTGGATTCAGTTTTGTTCGTTCGGCTCGCGTTAAGCAAGTGCAGAACTTCTTCAGTGCAGTTTTTGGACCACAAACAACACCACTTTTAATTTTTACTAAATATATATATAATTTTTTATTTTTTTGTAACATTTCTTGGGGAGAAAAAAAAGTCTCCAGTAACCCATAAATGCATTCATAAATGTGAAATCCTCACACAAGTGATCATCTCCTTTCTGAAACGGTCATGATTTACAATGTCATCTGTCATCCGACACAATGTTTGTCGAGTTCTCCACTTCCTCTCCTCTGTGCAGCTTTTAACTGCTCGCCTATGTTGCAGTGATGTAATGGCAAAATAAAGTTAGTTTTTTCTTTCTCTCAACTCCTCTGTGTCTGTGTGTTGAGTTATCACACGTACGCTAGCCTGGTAACAGCGGAGGCATATGGTTGTGATGGAAATCTAGCAGTCAGTGGAGAGTTTGATGGGGGTAATGGGTAATCTACACTAATAGCTAACAGGTTAAACATTAACTAGAAGAGCCTGGACTCTCTCTTTCCTCTCCATCAGCCAGACCATCTGTTCCACACTGGCCTCAGTATCTCTCAAGTCAAATTCATTCAAATAAATTACCATTACTCTTCTGGATAATACACACATAAAGCCATTCATCGGTGGCTGGTGTTGTTAGGTTGCCAGTGCGCGCATATTTGCTTGCATTCTTATTACAGATGCATTATTAACTGTTACTGCATTGTTTTTCTATCACATCTGTTGCTTTCATTTAAGTACACAAAGCTCAAAAACCATACAAGCGTAGCAATAAAAACAAAAGCGGTTTGCAACAGATGTGAATTCAGAGGGCGGTTATTAGATCTGAATTTAATGTTCTGCTGGGATGATGCTGAAGAGGCTCCAGGGGCCATGTGTTTTAGTCAAAGACCATTACAATATACTAATGAAATATGCAAGTGCCTTCAGGCTGCCTCGCGGCCTGTGATTGGTCGGAGGAGGATCTTCAATTTCACCAATTAGACGGAGAAATATTGAGGTCAATTGTCAATATGCCCGAAGCTGTTGGAAGGAGGCTTTTGTTCAGGGTTTTAATCTAGCAATCAAACACAAACACACCCACAGAACACGTGGACCTGCAAATACACACACACACACTCTCTGCAAATATATTTATTACAATATTTGAGTTCTTTGTACTGCCATTTTTTTTGACAAACCCAATATTTGAGTTAAATAAAAAATAAAATAAAGTTAATTTAATTCAGCATTTTTCCATATTTGTCTCAAATAATGGTTGAAATAATCCAGCACATTTTAGAGAGTGTTTGCAGGTTTACATTATTACCTTTACTGCAGTGACAATACAAGCAATTAGATTCCAAAGTGTTTTAATACATTAAAGGCCCTATATGCAAGATTTTCTTCATTAAAATAACCCAAAGCCACTATAACGGTGTATTTTGCTGACTTATTAACTTACATAAAAGTCAAATAGATAAATAAGCAGTTTTGCAGACAGTGTCCTGCATAGCCATGCTAATGATGTCAGACACCCTTTATTTCCAGCTGAGGTGGCAGGACTTTTACACAGATCCTCCAACTACCTATGGCGTTATTTCAGTAACAAATCGTCACCTTGTTTTTATATGTCCATGTGCATTTTTACAAAAGCTGCAGGCCTGTTTGTTTCAGATTCCCTGTTTACTTGTTTAAGAAGTTATAGTGAATGCAGAAAATAACAAAGGGAAACGATTATACAAATACAAATTAATGAAATACTAACTTTTCATTCTGTGACATTTATTTATGTTACCCGTTTCAATTTCAGTGCTTATAGTTTTCTTCTTTTGTAATAACTTACTGAATGTAATGTTAAAAAAATAAATTGTTTTGTGTACATTGTGCTTCATTTGTTCTATGTTTGCAAAGCTAAATTGGCCTTATAATGAAATTTTAATGTACTTTTGCAAAATTCTATGGGTAAAGTGTTTTTACAAATTTATGTTTCTTTTTAATGTTTACTGAAGTTTTTGTATAATAATTTAACGGAAAAAAAAAAGTAAATTGTACTGAGAATTTACTGTAAATTTATATTTTTTTCTTTCTTTTTTTTAAAAACGGAATTTCCGTAAAAAAAACAGAATGTACTGGCAGAAAATTACCAGGACATTCTCTGTTTTTTTACGGAAGTTTTACAGAATTTTCCGTTTACTAAAAGAAGGAAGTTTCCGTAAAAAAACGAAAAATGTGCTGGTAATTTTCTGCCAGTACATTCTCTGTATTTTTACGGAATTTTTTTTTACAGTGTAATTATAAGGTTCTATCTGCGTTCTGAATGATTTTGAGATATTAAGCTTGAAAGTTTTGGCATACAGCAAACAATATGTGTGTAACAGCTCTCTTCCATACATTAACATGACAGAGACCCTAAATGTAAATTATCAAAATTCTCTTACATTTGCAAATTGGGGTAAAACAGTTAGAAGCTTCCCATTCTGAAAAGTCATTTTCCGCTTGGAATTATAAGGTTCTATCTAGCAGATCGCTAATTGAAGGACCACATATCAAGAAATACAATTACAAAATATATAAATTGGTGTTGTAACAATATGTTGATGCTTGAGAAAGTTACATTTTTGCTTTTTATAACATTTATTTCATGATTTAGGATGAACTTTTTTTCTTGTTCAAATTAAGCATAGGCTGTGCTAAATATTTTATCCAGAGCAGATGTTAATTTTATGTAGTTAATATGGTAATATTTATTGAATTTTATCCTTTATATAAACTTAATTTATTGAATTATGTCCCATTAATTAAATCAAGTATTTCCCCTTCAATGAATGAGCAAATTAGTTTAATAAACACTGAAACATGTTTCACTGACTAAATATATACACACACACACACACACACACACACACACAAATAAAAATATTTTACATTTTTTAATAACTGTTTCTTTTTCAACAATGTCAAGTTTTAGATTTCTTCTCAATTTTGCTTGGTGCAGCATTATTTAGTCGACTTTAGTTGACTTCAGTTATTATGTGTTTCGTTTTGGTCTTTCCCACTGTCAATGGAGCAGTCCGGTAAAATGACAAAGAAAGCTGATCCTGATTGGTCCTTGTGTGTGCATTTGAAATGCAGGCTAGAGTTTGACTTTGTTGATAAAACCACAATAAGATTGGCTGAAGAATTTATTTGTGCTATGACACTGGAAACGCCTCTTTGTGTTCTGCTTTCTCTCGTCAATAATGTGGATATTCCTTTCGCTTTGGTGCTGACTGTTCAAAAACAGTGACGGCAGTGCTAAACTGTGGCTCAAAGTGGCTGTAACCCAATCAGGATATTAAAGAGCCCTGTTTTAGTCACCAATAAGGTTGATCAGATGTCCCAATTTTCCCAGGACAGTCCCTTATTTCGGCACTACCGTGAAAACCATCCAGTCATCCCCCACAATCCTTCCATTACACAATATAACCGAGACAGTGTGCGAACAAATCAAATAGCCTAGACAAGCAGTTATTTAAATATCCATCGTTGCAGAGTATCTATCTTAAGTAAATGCACTCGGTTATGCTTTACAGTAAGTCTAACTGAACCAGTTAGAAAGCAAACTTTCTATGAATGTTTATTTTGCCCCTTTTATGAAAACGAGAGCAATAATATGGAGCAATGAAATATTGGTGCTGACTTTCATCAGAAAATATATCTAATGCAAAAAATTTAAAAGTAAATAAAATAAGGATGCTAGCCTACTGTAACTCAGAAGACCACAATAAACTATTTTGGATATTAGAAGCATAAATATTAAAGATATCCTATCATTAGGGATTTATGGTCAGCTAAAGTTATAAAGAGAACTTTTTAAAGATAAACCCCTGTTTAAAGTATTTATTATGAAGCACTCATTTAGGAAGCATTGCAAATGTTTTTTGTTTTGCTGATTTTTTCAGCTTGTTTGAACTTTAAAGTTCATATCATTACTTAGTTTTGTATACTTTCAGGCCTATAAAATGATAATTAATAAAATAGAAAAATGTATAATAATCAAATAATGTAAAATTAGATAATAATATTAAATAGTAAATTATTAATAATAATAACAATAATAACAACAGCAACAATTATATATATATATATATATATATATATATATATATATATATATATATATATATATATATATATATATATATATATATATACTTTTGTGAGGTAAAAAAAATTAAAAGAGGGGCCCTTGGATTTGCCATAGCCCCAGGGCCCAATGTGGCTAATCCGGCTCTGGCTACGTTTACATGGACATTAGTAATCGAATCATTAGCCTTAATCTGAATAAGACAATATATGTTTAAGGTGTTTACATGAGTTTATTTTTTAATGTTCATTTCATGATCCTCTTTTACATGTTAAAGCACATAATTCGATTAACATCATTGCATCACCACGCTATACACGTTTCCTCTAGAGTTGTATGTAATTTCGGGTGTTTAATTTTTAATTTGTTGATTTTAACTGCAGTTTGCCACTTTTACTTTCACTCGGGAACATTTCATTCATGCCCATATGACAAACGAGTATCAACTGCTGAAAGAGTGTTGCTTTATTGGAATATGATACCGAATGGGAGAAAAAAAACCTCCACATTTCGCGATGTGTGTGTCTGTGATCTTTCACTGACTTGGGAGGTGCAGAGAATAGCGTCAAACAGCTGTGTGTGTGTGTGTGTGTGTGTGTGTGTGTGTGTGTGTGTGTGTGTGTGTGTGTGTGGAATATCCTGCCGCAAAATGCGGTGAAAATCCTACATGATGGTAAAGTTTTATAAAGGTGTTTACATGTCTTAATAGCACTTCAATAATGCGGCTAAGGGTGCTTTTCACATCTGTAGTTCGGTTCATTTGGTCCGGACCAAGGGCAATAAATGGTACATCGTAGCATTTTCTGCCATCTTTGGGTCCTTTTCACCCCACGCTGATTGCATTGGTCCGAACTAGTTGAGAAGAACCAAAATGCAGTCATCTGACAAAATCCTCATCACTTA